CTTGTTATAGACGTTTTATCCATATCTCATAATTATTTCTGACAGTTTTACTTCGCGTAAAGATTCGCTATCTGCTGATTAAACTATTTCTAGACAATTATATCAAGCAGAACTATTAATAACACCAATAATAATAATATCGATAACGCACATACGCATGAAAAAAATGAACGAATCGTAACACACGAAACTAGAAATTAGCGTACGTCGTGTAAATGCATGGACAGTATGACGAGCACTAATCGATACTAATTATTTAATATCGTATCGTTGAAACGATTGCCGGCACAGTTTCGAGTATAACTTTTTAATGCAACAAGAACCGAGCAGGAACGTGTTCCGAGATTACTAATTCGATGGTTTCCGTTCCCCTAATTTCATAATTCGACCGTTACATTGCTAATTACGGAAATATTCGTGGAACGTTGACCGAAATGGAGATGACTCATTAGCCGAGCAGAGTCGTTCGTTGAACATGTGGTTAAGACAGATTGATACGCCAAACTTTCGATCTATCGGATACCCATTATACACGATTAGTGCCGGATCCGTTATCAGCCGCAATTAATCTACTGGCCACCACTGATTCAATAATAAGTGTCGATTACAAGCGCCGGCCGTAACATATTTCCCTCGGAAAAAAAAGAAGATTCGATCGCCGTTCGTACCCTCGATTCCCGTATCCGTTTTCGAAACGTTTCGACGATTCGACCGATCGAAACGAAACCGCGCGCGCGAAAGCTCGTTCCGACAATTTGCGCTATTCTATACGCGCGTTCGATACGATAAACGGAGTAACGTAATTTCGAAAATTGTTAACTTACAGCTCGCGAACGTTTAACGCGCCAAACGCGGCGGCGGAACGAGTTACCGGAATTAAAACCGTCTCTTTGATGAAAAAAATTCTAGAACGCGAATTTCACGGTTTACATGTAGTCTCGCGACATAAAAATGAGCACGCGAGAATTATAATGTTGCTGCGAACGTTACGAAATAATCTTTGAGTACCTTCCTTTCTCTCTGTGCGCAAATTAATATATTTATTTCTTTTATATTTATTTTCATTTATTTATTTTATTTGTTCTGTTATTCTGTTATTCATTTTATTTATTCTGTTATTCTAGTATTTATTTTATTTATTCTGTTATTCTATTATTCATTTTATTTATTCTGTTATTCTATTATTCATTTTATTTATTCTGTTATTCTGTTATTTAGTATTTATTTTATTTATTCTGTTATTCTATTTTTTTAAATTTATTTTACATATTCTACTACTCTATTATTTACTTTCTCTATTTTATATTTATTCTCATTCTTTTTTATTTATTTTACTTGCTCTATTATTCTATTATCTATTTTCTTCATTTTACATTTATTTAAATTAATATATCTATACGTTTAACCTTCTTCCCCTCATATCAGAGCTCGACGATGTTAATCGTAAAATAAAAATCGTCGCGGCATGTACCGCGAGACAAAGACAGAGGATCTCGCCGGGCTGCTAGCTACGAATCGCTGAACAATAAACTGCTGAATAAAATGCGACGCACCCACGGCGCAATACGCAGCTGCTATTATAAGCGCAATCAGCGCAAACGGACTGGCGCTGGCGCCGAAACGGCGTAGACCTTAAAGGCCAGGGATCCTCCCAGTCGACAAGCTTATCGCACCAAAGGGGGTTCGTTTCAAAAGATCCGGCATCGTAAGTTGTTCGCCGCGATCCGGGGTCCTCTTTGCAGCAAAGCGATGCCCGGATAATTGCCGGCCCCTTTCCTCCGTCCGGCGGCCGCGCGTTGTTCCTTCGCCGTGCAATTATTAAACAAGATATTCAATTAATTCCGGCCGTATTAACATGACATTAGCCTCCCTGCTCCCCCGGGCGACTAGGAATTTTATGCTGCATCCACGACGTCGGAAACAAAGCGAAAAGGAAGAGGAACAACAACAAAAAACGCGGGCTATAAAAAAAGCTCCACGGCCCCGTTGCGCTCCCGTATTCCACAGTGTTAGCATTTTTGAGTTAATTACTGGCGTGGAACAAAAAAATGACCGTAGAGAGAGAGAGAGAGAGAGAGAGAGAGCGAGAGAGAGAGAGCGAGAGAGGAAAACGGGAAAGCGCGGAATTAGTAGCTCCGTGGATGAACAGCGGAAGAGTCCTGTGCGGGGGCGTTGCGCGTGTGTTCTAATGGATGTACAGCCCCGAAAATCGTGATACTCGACGGAATTCTAGTCTTTTTACGCCGCGGACCCGCAGCGAATTAAAATCTTCCAGCCTCTTGAACGCACGATGAAAGAGAATCACTTAAAACGGTTCGCTTTCCGCGAGTAATGTGCCGCTTCGGCACTGTTGCCACAGCGCGATGCTAACTGTACCGTTTGCCTCGCTGCAGCAACCCGTTTGGGGACTCGTGCGGACACCAGCGGAACCAGTGTCACCATTCCGCGACGCCTCATTGGTCCGCCATTTGCCCCCTCCACTCGTCTCGGTCATCCCCACCGCGCGCACGCGATCGTGTGTCACTGGACCGCGGATTTTAGGCATTTCTGACAAGATTGTCCGGATCAGATACGGAACAAGTGGAAACATTTGGGGAATTTAATAATATTATTAATAATAATGTTAATAATATT